GGGTTGAAAAGGACCACAGTGCTCATCCAGCTCCAACCCCCTGCTGTGTGCAGGTCACCAACCAGCAGCCCAGGCTGCCCAGAGCCACATCCAGCCTGGCCTTGAATGCCTGCAGGGATGGGGCATCCACAGCCTCCTTGGGCAACCTGTGCCAGTGCCTCACCACCCTCTGGGGGAAAAACTTCCTCCTAAAATAATCAAAGCTTCTCAATGTTTCTTTAAGCTGTCATTAAGAACCTGAGGCTGGTAATTTCATTATCCCACACCAGCAATTTCTTCAGTTTTCTCTCCTTCCATGTTCAAAGGCTGCTGATAACTCAGCAGCTAAATGGCATAGAAATGTCATTGCCAAAGCAACTTCTATTAACACACCACACCAAATCCACTTAGACACAGACAGGTTATGAATTAAAGATGTTACAACTGCCACCACACCTCTGACTCCCCAGAACAAGTGAAGAACATCACCAAACCTGCCATTCAGGAAGGCTCCCAAAGCCCTTTTTGTCTTTCCCACTGTCAGACTGCAGCTCCTCCCTGCCAAAGCCAACACACTGTATGAAAGATGAGCACCTAGGTCTTCTAATTCAGAACTGCCACTGAGTGGTTTGAGTTGGCAGGAACCTCCAAAGGCCACCTGGTCTGATCCCCTGCAATGCACAGGGACACCCACAGCTGCATCACAGCTCCACATATGGACACAGAGCTCCATGTGAGGCCCCACCAGCACACAGCAGAAGGGTAGGATCACCTCCCTGAACTACTGATCACTCTTCTTTTGATGCTGCCCAGGACATAATTGGCTTCCTGGGCCGGGAGGGCACAGTGCTGGCTCACACGCAGCTTCCCATCCACTGTTTGGTATTAATCAAGCACAGCATTTAAACATTAGTCAGCTGCATGAACAGACACCCCATCAAATCAGGTACCACGTGCTACTTCTCACAAGCTTAACCCTGCAGGCTCTGATGAGTGTGACAACATATTTGCATTTCATTCACAACTCTGCTGGTTTCAACTTGCTTTCCCTAAGTCAAATACCCCAGATAACAGGAGGTAAAGAAGACAAATATGCACTATTGTTAATCTACCTGGACACAAGAAGTCATTTTGTATCTTCCACCACCAAACAATGGAAGCTCACTCCAAATTTCCATGGCCTTGCATGAGCACAACACTGGTACAGGAACAGAAGCCATGTCACCTGAGCACATACTCCGCATACAGAGCTAAGAGCAACTCACATGCAGAACCACTGACTTCAAAGACCTCCTTTTCCAAAGCAATTCTAGGAAACCTTGGTAGCAGTACAATAGGATACATAATAGGATACATCCTACCAGCCCTGCAAGCTGAAAGGCGAGCTTGGGAGCAGCTGTGCTGCCTGCCCTGGCCACCAGCTCCTCCAGCACCTTTGTGCCACTCCATGACAGAGCACAGCTTCTGCATTTCACCTCCCACAAGCGAGGCTTTTTCCTTACACCCATCCTAAACATCCCCCCTTTACACTTTAAACCATTTCCCCACGTCCTACCACAACAGACCCCGAAGAAGTGCCCGTCCCATCCTTTCTCGCAGCCCCCACCCGGACACACACTTAAGAAGGATGGCTCACACAGCACCCTGCCAGCACGCCCAGCCCGAGGCCTATCGAGGCCTCACGTCTCTCCCCGCCTCCGGGGTCGCACCTCAGCACCCGCCGTTCCACCCTCCCTATCCGCCAAGCCTCCCGCTCCCTCAGCCGGCAGAACGCCGCCCCGCAGCCCAGCTGGGCCTCACCGCTCCTTCTGCTGCAGCAGCCGCTGGAAATCCTCTGCGGATCCCGCCGTCACCACCTCCCCCGCCGCCATGGCCTCGCCGCAGGAAGGAGGAGCGGAGCGGGGTCACGTGGGAGCGACGGCCGCGCAGGCGCAGACAGGGCCGCGCCTCTCGCGCAGGTGCTGCCCGCCCCTCTGCGCATGCGCCGTGAGGCTGAGAAGGCGGTGGCGGGAAGGGCGGCCGTCAGTCAGAGCCGTCAGTCAGAGCCGCGGGGCGGAGCTGAGCGCTGCCTCCCTCTGAGAGGCTTTAAAGCCGAAGCTGCGCTTTCAGCCGGCGGTGTGCCTAAATGTGGAAATGATCAATGTCTATAAGTGGTCTTTGCTTATGAAGTGGTCCTGAGGTTGGGGTCACTGAAAAGTCTCATACACCTTTATCCCGATGCTGTTAAAAAGATGCTCGCAAAGCTGCCTGTGCTGTCCTCATCATGGGCCACATTGCCAGGAAGAAATGGATAAGAAACGTGGTCCTTCAAAATGAACGACTTCCTCTGTAGCCTGTATCAACCACAGCCACGTCAGATAATTTAAAGCCTCGCTCCTTAATAAGGTTGGCGAGGCATTTTCAAGGTTCATTTGGAAGGTAGAAACAAGGATTGCAGTTACAAATGTATGGCCCCATTGAGACGCCGGAGACCTAAATCTCCCTAACACGAGGCTATATTTCTGGGCATCCCATATGGAGTATTTGGCAGCACGGTCCCAGGGAAACCCAGGGCTTCAACGACTCCAGATTGAACAACAGGCAGCAGGCCAAATTAATCTGGCAGGGCTCCCACAGTGCCCAGTTGATCTACTGCTCACCTCCAGTTGCAAAGGACTTGGTTAACAGAAGAGATGTGCAAGTCTGGGAGGCACAAAAAGGAGAGAGATGGTGCTGCTCACGTTGCTGGCCCCGCCTGAGAATGTTAGTTTGCAAAAGAATGGCTTTACATGTGCTAATCATCTTATTTCAGAGTCCCTGAGATGTATTCAGAATATATATAAGCTGTGTTTCTGTATAGAAATAGCCTTTATTGGTGTGTGTGCACTGTAAAGTAAAATTAAATAAAATAGGAGCCAGGCACAGGACACTGAAAGTGGTAAGATTGGATCTCATAATAGAGTCTGAAAAAAATAATGATAAGCAAAAATACGACCCGACATCACGTGGCCTTAAGTTGCAGCAAGGTAAGTTTAGGATGGATATCAGGAAAAACTTCTTTACAGAAAGGGTTGTTAAGCACTGGAAGAGGCTGCCCAGGGAAGTGGTTGAGTCACCGTCCCTGGATGTGTTTAAAAACCATTTGAATGTGGTGCTCAGGGACGTGATTTAGTGGAGGGCTGTTAGAGTTAGGGGAGCATAGTTAGGTTGTGGTTGGGTTTGATGATCTTGAGGGTCTTTTCTAAGCTGGGCAATTTTGTGATCCTGTGATTCTATATTTGCACTCCCAGATGCATGACATGATTAAAAAAATTGGTCTAGAAGAATCACAGAATCAGAGACTGTGTAGATTTGAGAGATTAAGAGATTTTGTAGCGTGAACACTATGAAATAAAGAGCAAGTATTCTCAGATAGGTTCAGGTTGTGGATGCCCCATCCCTGCAGGCATTCAAGGCCAGGCTGGATGTGGCTCTGGGCAGCCTGGGCTGCTGGTTGGCAACCTGCACACAGCAGGGGAGTTGAAATGAGATGATCACTGTGGTCCTTTGCAACCCAGGCCGTTCTTTGATTCTGTGATTTAAATAAGACAGAAATTTGCCTTAAGATGTGGCAGCTCTTGGTGTAACAGCAGTGGGAAGGGGCTATGCAGCTGACATTTCCCAACCTTTCACCTGCTGTACTCTAGCAGAGTTAGATGGCTGTGTCACAAAATGCTTGTTTGACTGTAGTGTATCCTATTGTTCTAAGAACGTGAATGTAAAATGGGAAGCCAGTCTGCAGCACTGGCTCTACTGGCAAGGAACATAAACAGGCTCTTGGGGGTGGAATTGGAAGGTGGTTTGAAATAATTAAATAAATCTGATTTGATGTGAATGGATTTGGGCTTGGTTCAAACTCAGCAATGAGTTATGCTTCAGATGTTGTGCAAACTGGATTACCCAGATTTAGGGTTATTATTTTTTTTTTTTTTTCCTATCAGGCATGTCAATTGCCAAATTAAAAACAACAACAACAAAAAAAGAATCTGTGGATTAATTTTTTGTGGTGCACCCGCAGGCTCAAAGAATGTGACAGAGCATACTGTGTAAGTACAACTGGATCCCTAGTGCAGAATAAGCACTGGAAGGAATGCCAGGGATAGCTTGACAATGCAAATAGCTTGATTTAGCAGAGCAGAACAGACAAGCGGAGTATTAGATGTTCCCGACAGAGGAGTTAAGCCTGTGCTGGTCTCAAGACCCACAAAAAAAAACCCAAAAAACTAAAAGGAAGACTCAAATATTATCTGTGACATGCAGCAACAGGGAGTGACGAGCTCTGTTGGATTCTGCTAGGTCACACTTCCTCCCATGCATTTTGTTTTCTCCCTTTTGGTGGGAGATAGCTGGTGCAGGAGAATCATATCATAGAATCACAGAAACACAGAACGGCCTGGCTTGCAAAGGAGCACAGTGCTCATCCAGTTCCAACCCCCTGCTGTGTGCAGGTCACCAACCAGCAGCCCAGGCTGCCCAGAGCCACATCCAGCCTGGCCTTGAATGCCTGCAGGGATGGGGCATCCACAGCCTCCTTGGGCAACCTGTGCCAGTGCCTCACCACCCTCTGGCTGAAAAACTTCCTCCTTATATCCAACCTCAACCTCCCCTGTCTCAGTTTAAAACCATTCCCCTTATCCTACCACTATCCATCCTCTTAAGCAGCCGTTCCCCCTCCTGTTTACATGCTCCCTCCTTCTCCAGCCTGACCCATCCCAACTCCCCATAGCACCGCGCTGCACTCCCGCACATCCCCGTCACCCCGACGTAGGGAGGAGCCCGACAGCGCCGTTATTGCTCAGGACGTGCAGAAATAACAGCAGATAAAACTTGCTGCGCTCTGCTCCTTCCGCAATACTCCGAGCTACGGCGGCTCAGCGACCTCCCCCGGGGCAGCTCCGCTCACCGCCCCAAGCCCGGGCACGCTGCCCTCCGTCCCCGGCCCCGCCCCGTGCGGGAGGTCGGCAGTGCCCGGAGCGGCAGCGGGTCCAGGCGGGGCTCGGGAGCTTCCCGAGCCGCGTGTGCCGCCCCGCCGCCATGGAGGCGATGGCTCGGGGGCGGCGGGGGCTGCGGGAGCCGGAGCCGGGAGAACCGGAGCGTGTGAGTGCCGGGGGTCGGGCGGGGGATGGCGGCCCCGGGCGGACGCGGCGGGCTCAGAGCCCTCTGGCGGCGACGAGGAAGGGTTCGGCCCTTCGGGGTTTTGAGCCCCGGCCTAGAGGTCGTTCTGAAGGCTGTTGTCGATGGCAAAGATTCCCCGCTGCTTCTTCTGCTCCCGCTGTGCGTCGTACGGAGGGACGCGTGGTTGATCTTTGCACGTCGGCGCGGCGATCTGCACGCGTTTCAGGGACGTCCTGCGGGATGGAGCTCCGTGCTGGCGCGTTTGCGGTGTTTGGACGCGGAGGCCTTTGGAGGCGGCGCTGCGTGGAGCGCGGCGCTCTGAGTCGCGATCCCTGGGGACCCTCCCCACTCGGGACAGCCCTCCCAGCCGCGTTCTGCAACCTTGGTTTCACTTTTCATAAGAAGCAGCCTCGCTGCGAGGCCTTCATCCTTTCAGCAAACACACGTGTTTTCCCAGGACTTGCCAGCTGGGAGAGAGAGTGACAGAACATCTGCTCTGCGAGCAGCCCTGTTTTCTGCCTGTTCTGGGACACGCTGTGAATTGCTGGTGCTTGTCTCCAACTACGTTTCAAGCTGGAGATGTACCACAGTCTCTCCCTAACAAAATTAGTCATTTTGACGCAGTGCGTGGTTGCCTTTTGACTGGCTCCCTCATTGATCCTTACTCATCACAGGCACTTTGAGCCCTGTGCTAAATGCGTTCCGTTCACAGGCAGGATTGATGTATCGATTGTTTCTTTCCAAAGAGAGAATTCCAGGAGTGAACCCTTCCCTGCAGCCAGCTCTGCCAGCAGTTCCCACAGATCGTCTTGGCATCACTGTGATAGGATTGTCAGCCAGCTGCTCTGTGTGCTGAATTCCTGTCACTGGTGCTAGATGTCTTGAACTCCCCCAAAACAATGCTTTGAGTTTATTTTTAATGAGCCAAATTTCCTCTGGTACATGGCAGTGAGTCATTTGTTGCTCTGTTCCTTCATCTCACACACCGTGCCGGCTCTGCTGCTGTAGCACCATGCTCTAGCTTTTAATAAAGGACAAGTTCTGCTGCAACAAAGGGAGGAGAGCATTTTCCCAGTGGAAGGCAATCTGCCTTTGGAGGACCTCCTCAGACTTTTTATTATTACATTATTCACTTTCTTAGTACAATACATATTTCACTTTTTGATTTACTTCCCGTCCAAATATCCTGTATTCCTTGATAGCGTGCTCCTTTCAACTGTTTTCCACCGAGGTTCCTGTTGTATTGATCCATTTTATTTTTACATAATGTATTCACATTTTCATTTAGTTTCCGTGCTTCTGTAGTCTGTCAGTGGCAATGCCTCTCCCACCTGTGAGATCCTAAGTGAGATGGAATGTTGTTGCTCCTTAAAAACAAACTTTGTTCAGAAAGTTGTTTCAAAAGCATGTGCACCTCCTTGGGATTCGGTCAGAGCCAGGCCCTGAAATGTCTGCATCAGTTCTGATATTTCTCATTATTATTAATGTGCTGCTACAGTTTCAAAGAGCATCTTAGTGTCAAAGAGCAGTCACAGGCCAAGGGCAGTTCCCTTCTTAGGGATCCCGATTGGTGCCTGCCCCACAGCTGCCCCACAGCTGCCCCTCACCCTTCTGGGTTCATGACACGCTTTGCACACTGAGGCATTATCTCAGCAGACCTCCAATCTTGCACTGGGATGCCAAGAACTGTGGGAAAGGCATCCCCACTTAGCACAGCCCATGCTCCAGAGTTGGAGCGATTTGCAGGAAATCCAGAAGTCCTTCAACACCAGGTAACAGTTCAGGTGAGAAGCAGGAAGCCTTGATTGTTTGGGTAGCAGAGGAAAGCTGTAAGAAGGGGACAGTTTGCAGAAAAAGACACAAATAAATCATTACAAAAGATGTCTTCATAGCTGTCTGACTTGGCTGCGGGGTTTTCCTTCCGTTTCCGTGGTTTAATTAGCCGTTTCTAAGAACTTCCCATGATCCGCTCCTTTGATAAGCCCCATCTGAAATTAGATGCTAATGGAGGGTGACGTATCCTCTTTTCCCACCGGCCTTCTCTCCCCACGTTCTGAAACTGAGGCTCAGAGACGTTTAGTGAGATCCGCACACGTCCCTGCTCACCCAGCGCCAGGCACGGTGCTCCATGCAGTGTTTGTGCTCTGGCCCCGTGCTTGCAGGCTGCATTTACTAACTCGCTGCACTGACTGTTCATCCCAGTGAATATAAGATCCCTGTCAGTCATAAGCAAATCCTGCAGGCTTGTACCCAACGGCCTATGCCTTCTAAAGACACGCATATATTCCTTTTTATTCTTTTAGAAGCGAGTGTGCAAGCCCTTAGAAGCCATTCCAAATGAAGTTGATGCTCACCTCATTGACTGTGCTATGGAGCTGGATTCTAAACAGAAAGTCTCCTCTGGCTGTGGTCCTTGGGCTACAAAGACAAAGCAAAACTCTATGGTATGTTTACACCGCCAACATATCTATTTATTAGAGGGCATTTAAAGCCAGTTTTGTAATAAAACTGCAAGTAATTGTTTTTTTTGTTCTTTTTTTTTATGGTTCTGTACATGTTTTTATTAATTAGATTTTTGAAAACCAAGGAAGCAGAGGTACTGCCCAGCCTTGCCCAAGATGCATTGCTGGAGAATCTGTAAGTATATTAACCTTCGTTCTGTGGCATAAAAGATAGACTTGTTCTTAAGTATTAGATCCATAAAACACAAAGTTAATAAAAACCACAATTACATTTCTCAGGAATAAAGCATGTAAATAAAAGAAGGCAGATTGATTTAGCATTTCGGAGGTATGCCAGCAGAGCACAAACTAATATGTTTTCAGCAGCAGTTGGAAAATATGGAGACTGCAAACACATTTTTCACATTCACACTAAAAAGCAGAGTTTAGGAAGTAACTGAAGCAAACAGTAACATACAACTTCCTCTACCTTGTTATTATGTCTTCTTTGATTTACGGAATCATAACAAAATACTCAGGATTCCCATTCTGTTTCTTACTGTTTCCTCTAACTCGATAGTTCCTTTCCAAAGAGCAGATATACAGCACACCATCTTACACTGCACTACACTTATACTAGACCCAGCTTTAAACAAGTTGGCTAAGGAACAAGTAGCCAGCAAAGTTCAGCTCAGGCAGCCTGACATTTCAGAATAGCAGTGCAAGTCTTTGGACAGCTGAGTATTGCTGTCTTCTGGGCCACATCAATATGGAAAGTAAGCTGGGTAAAAACAGCTTTTTTATTTGTGTAGGCTGTAATCAACAGCTGGGATTTGGCACAGCATAGTATGGAAGAACACTGCAGTGGTAGTGCTGCAATCTCCCACATAAAGGTGATGGTTATCTTAAGCACTTTCTGTTTTACTATTCATTAAAGGCCAAACCTCAAGAGAGAACGGCTGAGAACACTGAAGGACGTTATGGTGCTCCTCCAGTTTCAGTTGTGCAGATTTTCATAGATCCACAGAACGGCCAGGGTTGGAAGGGACCTCAAGGATCATGAAGCTCCAACTCCCCCTGCCACAGGCAGGGCCACCAACCTCCACATTTCACAGCAGCCCAGGCTGCCCAGGGCCCCATCCAACCTGGCCTTGAACACCTCCAGGGATGGACGGGGCATCACAGCCTCTCTGGGCAGCTGCTCCAGCACCTCACCACTCTCATAGCAAAGAGCTTCCCCCTGACATCCAACCTCAATCTGCCCTCCTTGACCAACCAAAGTTTCAGAAGTCTGTTAAGCCTATGGGAGCTGGGAAGGCATTTACTGTGTAACGATCTTCAAATCATAATTAGGAACCCAGATGCCTTAGGATATGTAATTCACCTTTTCAACAAGCATTCATTTATTTGGGTGTAATGAAGAGCTGGAATCTCCCATTTAACTGTCCTGTGCTGTCAATATAGTGACTCAAGTTGGTGTCATAAACATCTGGAGCCCTTGGATAGCTACTTGCTAGACTTCTTGCTGAATTAGACTCATACCATGAGTTGAAATAGAAGCTGCTTTGCTCAAAGCTGGCTGATCTAAAATGTGACTGACTCAGATTCTGCTTTCCCTGATGTTCCCTGTAGCAGTGCCAAAGTTGATCGACGTCTGTTGCGTGGTGTCAAATACCAATCAGAGTTCAAGGAGCAAGGTGCAGTGTTTGGTGATGGAATAATCAAGTTAGTGTATATATTCAGTTCTCCATTATTTGAGTCATGGGCCTGGAACAATCTGGATGAAAGAAATGTGTGACTGCTTTTGCACCCATGGTTGCACACCACGGTGTGCTTTTGCAGAGGGGAGGGATTCTTTTTGACTCTGGCTTTCAGTCAGCAGGGTTTGTTAGTTTAGACATAATGCCAGGCACAAAGACAGGGCTAGAGCAACTGGGATTGTGTTGTAGTGCATCTGAATGCATGCTGTGCTGAGCTCATAAAGCCACCCTGATAGAATCTGGCTCATGTGGGTGTCCTTGCATCTACAGCACAATTTATCCACAACTCCTCTAACTGTGGGTGAACTGACTGTACAGATCTGTCAGTTGTGTTTCCTTCAGATCATCAGTGATTTGCAGCCATGACGTGGTGGGTAACACGGTTACACTTGGATAAATTTAGTAGGACTTATATTAGTAATATGTTCATTCTTAAAATAATAAAAAGCCTACATTGAGCATAAAATGTGTAGTAAGCTGATAATTTTCTTCAGAATTAAAATTTCACCTTGGGAAAATGAGCTTGTCACAATGAATATGCATCATGGAAGTCCTTCAGAACAGCTGAAATGTCCCTAAGGGAAGAGCCTCCAGGTAGCAAAATAAATAATGTTGCAATGCTTATTCATAGTAATAATGTTAGAGAAACTGTATGCTACTGATGGGAGGGAAATTCAAAAGCATAAGAGCTCACACTGGAGTAAGACAAACAGAATACAGGCATACAGGACTGAGGTGATTCGTCTTGCATAGTCTTCTCAGCATTGTACTTTGCATGAGGAACCTCATTCACACCAGCTTTCCTGAAAGCATGTAAGTCTTTGTTTCTACACAATATGCCATGATTTTCATAGTGTATTCAAAGGGAATATCACTTCTTGACTTGCTCTCTTAACATTGAAGCTTGTTTTTGTAGGCATGATCACTGCCACACGTTTCAGAAGGGACAGCAGAAGTGCATCAAGCCACAGTTTGAGATGAGAGCAGTACTGAAGTTGCAGCTGTTTTTAACCTTTGTCCACGAGTTGTTTGGGAAAGCTTGGAGCATTTGAGGTGCTGTCAGCACAACTGTCTGTTTCTTTTACAGTCACATTTGAAAATGGATACTGAGAAAAAGCTTCAGGTTTTGATCATCTTGTCACATACCATCTTGTCATTTCAGGGACACTTCAGTCACATCCTGGGCTGCTAGAGATGGACAGACAGCAGACAAGCAGCACTGCTTCCCTTGCTGGGGTCTAGAAATGCACCTGTGAGCAGCGTACAGCTGGAGTACGTTCACTCGTGGCAGATGTTCAGCATGCTGCTCTGTGTGTCACTCCTCCATAACGCCGTTTGATGCCACCGTTTTTACACTTGAAAAAATGCTTTTGTACTTAAGGTATCTCATATGTATGAAAAAACATGTTTCTCATTTAACTTTTTGGAGCAGTTAAGCTGATTCGGCCTTTGGCCCAGTCTTCACCTGGCCCTGGACCAAAGGCTGTGCTGATACAGGGTATTTCACTGTCTCACTTAGGCACTTTCTCTGATGTTCATGAAGGTTGTCGTTGTGTTCACATTGGTAGTGGGCCTGCACTTCTGCCTCAATTGTATAGAAGCGGGCAGAAAGGGAGGACTCTTCAGTTCTAGATAGAGAGCTGATCAGCTTGACAGCTATGCAAAGGCCAGTAAAAAGCCTACTGAAACTTATTTTGTTCTAAAATCCAGAATATGCATCCATTTCAGGTATCTTTCCTACATGCCAAACTCTTACTTGATTTACAATAGGCACAGTTTGTGAATGTGACAGATAACTACTTGAAAGAAAAAAAAAATCAGTGTTATTTGAACAACATTATGATGCAAAGGCGAGCGGTGCTTCAGATCTACACAGTCCTCTCAAATTGCTGAAGATACCATCTGATGCTCTGGGATTCCTTCTTTCCAACTGTTGTGATACTAGAACAAGTCTGTTTCAGCTTGTTACCCAGCTTGATCTTATTGGCTTGCCACAAATAATTTAATCAGCATTTGGGCAGTCTGCAATGCTGTGTAATTTTTAAACACCTGCAGGTTTTAAACTCTGAAGGTATCCAAGTTGTGTTATTTGGATGTGACACTTCAGTGGCTGCTCTGGAATGGAACTGGCTGCTGTTCAGAACAGAATAGCAGCATGCTTACCCTCTGCATTAGATGGAAATTTCTGCGACCTGCCAAGGCTCAGGAAGAAAGCAATCTCCACTGTCAGAAGTGTCCCCTGTTCCCGTGCAGCCTTTGGGCAGGGTTCAGCCCACCAGCAGCAAGGCAGGCAGAACAGCTTCCAGCCTCTCCTGTTCTGAGGGCAGTACTCAGTATAGAATCTGAAGTAGCAGAAGTCTACTAACAGGTCTTTAAAGATCACTATCCCAGTGGTGTTTATCGCAATGTAAAATTCTTAGAGAAGTCTTATCGCAGTCCTAGAACACTTCCCATACTGTGTGTGGAGCTGCAGCCGTAGTGTGAGCACTGAGTTGGCTTTTATTAACAAGATACTCTTCCCAAGTAGATGAATATCATATAATTACTGAATTTGGTTAAGCGACAGGTGGGGAGATAAGTTTATTAAGTAGAGCTGCACTAAACTGACACCCAGAAAGGTTAGTTAGGAAAGAATAGATGTCCTCCAATCCCACACAAATTTTACATCCCTTGGAAACGGGTCATTGCAAAGTGGGATTGGGCTGGATGATCTCCAGAGGTTCCCCTGACCCCTGTGATTCTGTAGTTGTATAATCAATGGATATTAAGATGTATAATCAATGGATACTAAGATGTTATAATCACAAAAAGAACAAGAGAGTTAGGCAAAGTAGACTAGGATAATAGGAGAGAATAAATGGAAGGCTTACCCATACGCTAGGCTCACCTATAGAAAGCACCCGAAGAGGGGATCTCCAGCAGAGATCCTTCCCCACTGGTAGCCAGCTCTTCAATAGGTCTAGGAGGGGTGCAGCCTGGCTTCTGGCAGCACAGCTGAATTGCCTTCACCTGTGCTCCTCTGGCTGGCTCATGGCTCGCCTCAGGTGATCAATCAGAGGTTCAGGCTGTGACTCAGCAGTTCCCATGTAGTTCTGCCAGTTGTTTCAAACACCCCCCAGCTTCCTTCAATGATATAGGCTGCTCAGAGATCAGATCACTGAGAATCACAATGGTTGTGTTACCTTGAAGGTTATAAACTCATCTTGAGCTCTCCAGCTCCCAGTACAGCTTGATACAAGCAATAGTATCTATCCAAGCTGGAAAGGAACATATGCTCAGTTGAAATGATAGTAGTGCATGAGCGAATTCCCAATATCCTGATAATAGAGTGCAGAAGAGTAAAGTAAAGTGGTTTCTAAACACATTGTTTTCTCTGCAACTGCATATTTGTCACTGGGTAGCTAGGCTGTATTTTGTGGGCAGTTCATTTTTACAAGATTTTCCAATTGTTTTTCAGCCATGTCAGCCAAGAGAAAAGATGGCTGAGCTTCAGTTTCTGTGCTGTAAAGACTGAGATAGTTACTTTGAGTGTAGAAGGCTGAAAGGTATCTAAAAGTTTAGTCAGTGCAAAATGACTCAGAACCTGTTGGGTGTCAATGCTGGAAAGCAGCTGTTAGCAGAACAGTATGCAGTCAAAATGTAAGGTGTCTTAAGAAGAGAAATGGCACTTGGACTTGTTCACAAAGTTTTCTGCTAGAATATATTGCACCAAAGAAGCACCATATTGCTTTTAATGCGCAGGCAATACACTATGAACCGTCAGACTCAGAGGATGATTTTCCATTTAAATAGATAACAGTGCATAGATTTCTTCTGTTAGCTAAAAACCTGAGCGTATTTTAGTCAACAGAATACAGTCAGAATGAGAACTCTTCACAATCCTTGTGGCTCCTATCACGCTCTTTCCAATCCTTCTCCTTTCAGAGTAACCATTACTTGGTTTTTGTAAGGTGCCACCATGCATAACTCACAGGATTGCTCATAGTTCCTCCTGGCTGCATTACAGAGCCCCCATGAAGTCATACTCTGTTCGATTTTAATGTAATTTTCTCGTATCAGTCTTCTCATCGTTACTGTGCCCTGTGCAGGTATTTTATGGCACTGTCCACGGTGACTCTCAGCTCTGTCCTTGCAGATTACTGCATCTCTACAGCTCAAGAAAACAGAACGTTGTGCTATTTTTAACCTGCAGTGTGGACATGGGAACCTTCTTTGTGCTGTTCAAAATGTAATGCTGTGTTTTATCTCAGATCTAATTGATCAGTAGTTCTGTTACTCGTGTGTATACTTCAAAGATCTAAATGCTGTAGAAACAGGAGTAGAATTGTCCCAGGTTGGGTCTTTGTTCAACTACAGCCTTTTGCATTCCCCAGGAACGCGATGCAGGGTATGTCAGAGCAGTTCTGTGGCCATAAGAGGGCTGGATGGGCTGGGAGCAGCCGGCATCTGTGTGCCCAACAGCAGGTGGGGAAAGGCTGAGAAAAGGACAGGCATTGAATGGGAACACTTCTTACAACAGGTTTTTGATAACATGTTTTGTTCTGGGAAACCCTTTTTGATCTCACAGCTCAGTCTCGAACATCGCAGATCACAATTACTGACACACTGATGGTTTGAAGCAGTACTTTTGCCATCGTATTTGTTAATACCAAAGCATATTGGGCATCAGGAGAGCGTCATACCTGAGTTTTCTTCTTAAGTAAACGTTGGCATCATCACTGTTTGAGAAGCATTTCCAGTGAGACTGCAGTTCAGATGTGCGTTTGCTCCTGCTTGATTAGCAGAGACTCTGTCTAGTTTTGATAGCAGCTCCCTCCTTTTTGGTAGTCCTTGAGTTGGTCTGGGGTTAAAACATAAACAAACAAGAAACCTCCTTCTTCACAAACTTCACAGTGAATCCTTAGGAAGGATGTGACTGCTTGCCCCATGCCTCTTAACAGGCCAGATGCATTTATACATCAGCCATGACACAAATGAGTTGCAGCTGAAATAGTCCAGCACAGTGGAGACTTGCTGTTTGATTCAGTAGATGTGCTCTATCTGTAATCTGCCTCAAGATTTGCTCAGCCAGAATCACAGAGTGCTGCATCAGGTGCAGCTGAGGGCCGTGCACCTGGGGATGGTGGATGTTCCTTTATAGCAGATGGGTGTCAGACCTGCAGCAGAACCTCAGCACTATTTTTGTAGGACTTTTCTTCACCTTGTACAACTATGCCATTTTGGTTGACTGATAAATACGATTCTTTATCTTTCTTAATGCTGTGGTTTGTACACAAAATAACCTAAAATATACTTTATTTAGGTGTATATAGTAAAGCATACAATCAGTTTTTAATTCAGATGAAAATGATATAGTATTTTTAACTTTGTATTTTATAAGTTGTTGCAAAAGCAGAAGCATTAAATCCACCTTTGGCTACAGTACGAACTGTCTGGTTTTGTTCTGCCGTTGATAATTGAACTGTGTTCTGCAGGCACTGAGGCACGAAGGTAAATAAAAGGCTTTGGGGTTTATATACTATGTAGCTTCATTTGTACAACATAGCCCACCTGGTTCTTCCCCTCACTGCCCAAAAACATGAATGATACACAGAAACTTTGAAACAGCATAATTCCTCTCTGCAGCTTCGGCTTAATGGAGAGTTAAAAGTGCCCATTTCTCAACTCGTCTCCACCTGCCTTTCCAGAGTTTGCTTTTCCTCACCTAATTGGAGCACCTTCGCATCAGACCTGCGTTCCTGCAGCTCTAGCTAGAAATGGAGGTGTCACGCTGCCTTGTGAATCTAAGCTCTGCCCTCCTTGGATCTCATTGCTTTATGTAGATTATCACTCTGCTCCATAGCTGCGTGGTTCCAAAGCAAATCCCTCAGCCACTGCTGCACGCCGGGCACTGCTGCAGCTCTGAGAGCCCCCAGCCCAACCCCACCATGCCCACAGCCCACGTCCCTCAGTGCCACATCCCTGCAGCTCTGAACGCCTCCATGGATGGGCACTGCCCACCCTGGGCAGCTGTGCCAGCGCCTGGCCGCTCTCTGGAGCAGACATTGCTGTGATACCAACCTGACCCTCCCTGGCTTCAGTCTGGAGACTGCCCAAAGTGTAACCTTGGCCACACGGCACAGCCCAACACTCCTGGGAAGGTAACAGCTGTGACCAGGAGCTCTGACACTGTAAGAAAGGGGAGGACAGTGCAGAACTCCTTTGCTTTTTTGCCTAATTTTTGTCACCAATGTCTACATGCACTGAGAGGAAAACGGCTTCAGCAGCCTGGAGAAGAACACGATTTGGCTGTAGATACATTTTGTATAAAGATAAGCAGATGGAACATTTAAGATGAGAGAATTAAGCCTCGTAAGAAAGTGCAAGAGCAAATGTGAAGTTGATAGGGTGAATGTATTATTGATGAAAACAATAAACTT